TACAACTGCAGCAGCAGAGGACTATTATTCTGCTGTGTGATACTGCAGAAGAACTTATGATGGCACGGCTGACCAATCAGCAGAAAGGGGTGTTTAATTCCTGCCCATGTGTAGAAATCGAATATTCAAGCTGTTTATTAATTTTTCTACCCCTGAACGAAAAACGAAAATAATTTTTAGGAAAAACACGGAAAAACTAATGATCGAATGATACACAGATTGAAAAAGGATCACCCCCTTGTGTCAGTATTTTGTTAAACCACCTTTTTCTTTAATTAGGCCTACAGCCTTTAGTCTGTTGGGATTTGTCTCTACTAACTTTGCACATCTAGACTTTGCAATATTTGCCCACTCTTCTTTGCAGACTGCTCAAGTTCAGTTCAATTTGATGGTGACCGTTTGTAGACTGCAGTCTTCAAGTCATTCCACAGATTTTCAATGGGGTTTAAGTCTGGGCTCTGACTAGGCATGCAAGGACATTCAGCTTTTTCTCCTTCAACCACTGTGTGCTCAGTTTTGCTGTGTGCTATGGGTCATTGTCATGTTGGAAGGTAAACCGTCCCATTGATGACTTTCTGGCAGAGGGCAGCAGATTTTTTCCTCAAGAATTTGACAGTATTTTGCCCCATCCATTTGTCCTTCTATCCTGACAAGTGCTCCAGTCCCTGCTGCAGAGAAACATCCCATAACAGGATATTACCACCTTCATGCTTTACTGTAGGAATGCTTTTATTTGGATGCTGAGCTGTATTGGATTTCCGCCAGACATATCGTTTGGTGTTGAGGCCAAATCTGGAAATGGGTTTATTATTGAAAATGCAAACTGCTTGTCTGCCAGCAGGAGGCGCTGTGAGCGGTGGAACTAACGGTTTCTCCAGTAATGGCTGTAAACAAAGCAGCTCCGCTCATGAACAGTACTTTATCAGATAAAAATGCCATCTAAACTATTCTGAAGACAGTCGGTTGCCTTCAGAGATACATTCATATAAAACACCCGCACCGTGTTATGATTTTGAAACGTGCAGTGCTCATGTTTATTCAACGAAGTCAAACGCCACAAATAAATCAATGCATGGGAAACACTTGTAATGTATATCGAAATATCGGAAATGTGTTTAAAAATCATATCACCGTTATTGAAAAAAATTATATCGCGATACATATTGATACTGAATTATTGTCCAGCCCTATCTTAGTGCTTAAAATCTTTATTTTGAAACAAATTAATTAATTAATTAATTAAACAAACAGACTTGCTATGACAGCTATCATATCATACCCTGCCATGCCAGCTGATGCAAAGAATATAATTTTTATCTACACAGAAGAAAGCCCTGTCTAGACTCTGCCCCGGTATGAGTTGTGTCGAGCTATTCATTAGCCTG